TTTGATATATTTTATATATTTATATATATTATATATATGTATGTATGAAAAATATATCAAAAATGCATGTGGGTACTCAAATGAAAGGTCTCGATGAGTGTAACATCGGGATGAGCTTATATCTTTAAAAATATCAATAGTTCACAAGATACAAGGTCATTTCTTAATTATTGTTGTAATTTTTTTGTTAAAAAAAAATTTATGTAATTTTTGATAAAAAAAAATTAAAAAAAAAAAACTCACTCGCAAAAATAGGAGCTGGTGGATTAATAGCCGGTGGAACAGCAGCCCTAGCAGCAGCCCAAGCTTCTTCAATCCTTGGCGGTGGAATAGAAGTATGAATAGCAGGAACAGTAGTTGTAGGAACCGCGGGTTTGTCAGCAGCTTGCAAGACACTAGGAATAGGATTCGCCTTATGGAGCATGCTGACAGCAGTGTGAGGGTCTACAATCCTCATGACAACTTGCGCCTGAAGAAGCGCGTAAGCCAACTGAGGATTCTGCAGCAGCATTTGTCTCGCTTCGTTAGGATTATTTTGAACGCAGAGCTTCATCTGTTTCATCAGCTCGAACATTTGCTCAGGTGGCAGAGACGCCACTGCCTTGCTGATCGCCTCCGGAGCCTTGTCTGCCTGCACAGCTTCTCCATAAGGGTTCTCTGTGTTCTGGCCCTGGAGCAGAACCTGCATCTCCATTCTACTTTTCTCAGTACACGCGTTGTCAACTCTCAATGTTCTGCCATTAGTTTCATGACCATTCAAATTTCGCATCGCGCTCAAGGCGGTTTCTTGGTCCTTGTACTCGCAGAACCCATAGCCTTTTGGCTTTCCAGTCTCTCGGTCGTACACTAATCTAATAAATTTATTTTATTTGTGAGTATATAAAAAAATTTGCACTAGTAATTTTTTTAAATCTCTAGACATGGAAATTAATAATTAAAATTTTTTTATAATAATTTAATTATAAAAATCTAAAAATTTACAGATGTTTAATTTTTTATTTAAAAACTTACTTGAATGATAAAACTGGACCAACTTCACTAAAAATATCTTTTAAACCCTCTTCAGTAGCTTCATATGGAATATTTCCAACTAAAAAAAAAAATTAATTAGTTTGAAAAAAAGTTTAAATGTTTATTTCTGAGATTTTTTATTAATGTGAATGTTAAAAATAAATATTAATAAGTTATTAAAGGTAGGTCACAAATTTTGTAGGTTATAAAAAATTTAATTAACTTACCAAAAACACTGCGCATTGATTTATCCATTAAGGATTGATCGGAAATTGCTGTGTTCGTCATTTTTGTTTAATGTTTTGTCAATTTACTTTACTAAAAAAATTTATAAATAAATAAAGTTTTCAAACTTCACAAATAAAACTTGAAAACTTGGGCTTGGACAAAATACCGGGTACTAAATCCGGAGTAGTAAATACGCAAGTTGGAGTGCTGGTAAATAATGAGTTTTTATAAACACCCGCTAGAGCGCAGCACTCGCTTGTGTTAGTTTCGGATCCGAGTAAGAAACTATTGAATTTTTGTTTATTTACATTGCTGATAAAAGTTCTTTTATTGTTTTTCTTTGTAATTTTGTGAATTAAACATGAGTGATAAAGAGCAGCCTCCTGCCAAAATTCCAAAAGTAAATCCAGGACCTTCAGCAGGGATATCTTCTTCTAGGAGTGCTGGCAGCTCAATCCTTGTTAATTCTAAACAGGTTAATTACAATTAAATTTAAATTACTAATTTTTAGAAGTAAAAATTTACGCTTAATTTATGAAAATTAAGTTAGCCGACATCTAAAAATTTTTATAATTTTTTTTATTGAAAAAATTATTTAAAAAAATCCATTTGTAAAAAATTTTAAGTGCAATTTTTAAAAAATATTTTTTTTGTTCCAATTTAATAAATAATAAAAAATAAAAAAATTAGACACGTCGCCTAACTTTAGTATTATACTTAATTTTTGGAATTTTTGACAGCTAAATTATGATAAAAAAATATTTTAAATTTCTCCATGTAAAATTTTTTTTTGCAATAATTAAGCTGTCAAAAATATCATAAAAATTATAAAATGTCAGTTTTATTTATTTTTTCACTAAATAATAAGTAACTAAAAATAAATAAATCAGCTGACTGCTATTTTTGTCTAAAAAAATTTCTACATTAATAATAAAACAATTAATAAAATATAATTACTTGTTTCAGAGAGGAAACCCACTGTTAAAATTCATAAAAAGTGTACCATGGGAATATTCAGAAGTAGTTCCAGATTATGTGATGGGTTCAACAACATGTGCGTTGTTTTTGTCAATAAAGTATCATCAGTTAAATCCAGATTATATACATGATCGTTTAAAATTACTTGGGACTGCATATCAATTACGCGTACTACTTGTTCATGTAAGTTAATTGTCCTAACATAATTTTAAATACTTTTTTATAATGGAGAATTATTTATTTCACAGATTGATGTGCCAGAACCAAATCACGCGTTAAAACATTTAACAAGAATTTGTATCCTAGCTGATTTAACGCTGATGTTAGCTTGGAGCAATGAAGATGCTGCTAGAATTATAGAAACTTATAAAATTTTCGAGTACAAACCTCCAGAGATGATTATGGAACGTGGTGATAGTGATCCGCAACTGAAAGTGAATAATTTATCAATTTTAATTTGTAATAGTATTGCTTGGAAAATCTTTATTTCTTCGCATTAATATTTTTCAGTCATTATAATTTTTTTTTTTTAGTAAATTATATTGAATAATATTTTTTACAGCTAATAAGCGCATTGACATCAGTGAGATCAGTCAACAAAACAGATGCCTTGACATTATTGAGAAATTTCGGAACAATTACTGACATTTTAAAAGCATCACCAGAAGCACTTTCATTGTGTCCAGGCTTTGGAATTCAAAAAGCTAAAAGATTGCATAAAGTATTACATGAACCCTTTTTACGTAATCCAAGTTCAAGTCCTGTAAAATCTAATTAAATTTATTATTTTTCATTAATGCATGTTATTATTTATGCTTATAAATTGTAAATTTTCTAAATAAACTTTTATATTTTTCATATTTTGACTTTTTTTATCCTGTCAAAAATTAAATATTTTTTATGATATCTTAATTTAAGAGGTTGAAAATTTTTTTTAATAAATAAATGATGAATAAAATTTCAAATGTAAAAATTACAAAAATTTAATTTTTTTAATAATTTATTTGTTAAATAATAACACTGAAATTGACAGCTATTAGAAATTTCTTAGAAAATTACAAAAAAATATGAGTGAAAATTTATGATATTAAAGTTAGTAGTCACTTGACCATTTTTTAATTTTATTTGACAAAAAATTTCACTTCGAAAAATTGTATTTTTAATTTTTTTTAATTTCTAAATGTCAATTTTTTTTTTTTTTATTTAAATTAATTTTATTTATTTATTTTTAAATTTAAATTAATTTTCATTGAAAATTTTCAGAAGCATTTTTTTTTTTTAGTGTAATAAATTTATTATAAAAATTGAAAAAATTGATCAATTGTCATAATTTTTTAAATTTTGAACTATAAATTCAATAATGTTGGTACATGAAGTTAAACCTAGATCTCACTGTAACCAACTTCAAGTACATAAAAATTTTGTTAGTGCGAGTTGAGAGCAAGGCAAGGGCAGAGTGAAATAGAGTTACAAATATAAATAATAATTAATTATAAAAATGGCAGATGAAGATGTTAATGGTGATTCCGATGAAGTGCAGCAGGAAAAGTCACAAAAGAAAGTCGCTAAGTATGACAGCGGGGCTGCGGATTTAGAAAGAGTCACTGATTACGCTGAGGAAAAAGAAATTTCCTCGTCTGATGGTTTCTCGTGTGTAAGTTTACACGTGATAATTATTATTATTTTTATTTATTTATTTACTTACTTAATTATTTTTTTAAATAAATTTTAAGTTTTATATGTCATGTTTTCTGTCACTTTTTTATTAAGCTTTTTAATTAAAGTTAAAATTTTGGAGCTCACTGCGAACATAACCTCAACTAACCTATTAAGGATTTTTTTTTTAAACGAGGACTTAATGATTAAATATTTTATGAAAATTAATTTAGCAGATATTTATTAATTTTAAGAATTTTGGTGACAAATAAATTATTGCCAAAAAAATTGACATGTGGAAATTTAAATAAATTAAAAATGCAATTTTTTTTTAATAATTTTTTCGAACAAATTTATTTGTTAAAAAAAAAAAATAAAAAAAATGGTCAAGTGACTGTTAATCATTTTTAGAATTTTTTTAACAAATAAATTATGGCAAAAAAATGAGAACAAAAAATTGACATGTAAAAATTTTTAAAAATTAAAAATGCAATTTTTTAAAAATAATTTTTCGGAGCAAATTTATTTATTAAAAAATTATTAAGTAACAGCTGACTTTAATGTCATAATTTTTTTATTCAACAGGCGCTGAGTATAATTGGTGACAGGCGTAATAAAGAACAAGCCGAGAAAAAAGCCAAGGAAAGAGAATTACTGAAAGTTTCTATCAAAAAAGAAGATGTTGATTTAATTGTAAGTTTTATTTTTTATTAATTATTAATTAATGATTAAATTAATTTGATTGGTTGAAAAAATAATTAAATGAAAAATAAGTTCTAATTATAATCTAGTCGAATTATTACTTACTGTTCATGTAAAAATTATTTTAAAGTTTTTACTACGATTTTATATAATCTACACGTCGCTCAGTATTTTTATTCATATTTAAAAATTTAATCAGTTAAAAAATTATTAAACATTTTTAAAATCCAACAAAATGGGGAAAAAAAGTGGAGAATTTTCTAGTGGTGATAGGCATAGAAGAAATTATTAGGGGAATATACGAGGGAGGAAATGTAGAAGAAATAGAGGAAAAAATAAAGGAGGGACTGGAAAAATACAAAAAAGAACTAGAAAAAAAGGAAAAGTTGCAAATAGAAAAGTCCAGATATAACGAGTTTTACAAAGATATATTACAAGAAAGTGAAATCAGTTATTGGAAAAAAGATAGAATTAATAGTGAGTACAAAGAGGTATGGGCAAGAACGAGATGTGGAAATCTGTGGAGAAGCGGAAAAAAAGGGCAAAAGAATTGGGAATGCAGAATATGCAAGAAAGAGGAGGAGACACTGATGCATTTATTAAGCTGTTCAGAGGTAATGGAAAAAATAAGTGAAAAAGGGCAACAAGCAAGATACAAGTGGATGGAAGAACTAGAGGGGGAATTAACAAGAGAAAGATTAGTGATAATTTTAAAAGGGGAAATAAATAGGGAGCTGTGTATATATGTTAGAGAAATGGAAAAATTATTTAAGGAAATTGAGTAGTATTACAATATTGAATGTCAGAAAAAGGCTGTCATTAATATACAGGGATGGATACTAAAAATAAGTATAAAATAGTATTAATAGTATTGTAATGCGACTGTGATATGAAGGATGAGGTGGGTGAAAAGTTAAAAGAGAGTAAAAGCAGTTGATTTTTAAGCCAAAAATAGTGTATATGCAAATGTAAATAAATAATTTAAGATTTTTAATAAAAAAAAACATTTTTATACTAAAAATTGAATCTTAATAAATTTTACCAACCAATTAATTATAAAAAATTTATTTACAGATGAAAGAATTGGAAATAAGTCGGACTAGAGCTGAAAGAACCTTACGAGAACACCGAGGCAATATCGTCGAAGCTTTGGTGACGCTGACCAACTAATTATAATAAAATTGAGCTAATTGCTATAAAAATTGAAAGAAAAAAAAAAGTAAATAAATGAATCAAGTTACTCTGAATAAAAAAAGTAAAAAATAAACCGACGACCAAATGTTTAATGAATTATAATTATAAGTTGGATGTAATTTATTTAATAATCACGATATACACATAAATGATTTATTTTATTCATCAACCCGCTTTATTTTATCAATTATCATTATCAATTATTAATTATAATCATAATTATTATTATTATTACTATTTAATTTGGTTTTGATATTGGTCACAAACAACTTAAACTTACCAGATGACGTATCGAATGTTTTATAATAAAAATAAATGAAATTGTTTAATTTATAAAATTAGTCAATTTATTTATTTATTATAAAAACAGCTGCAATGAATTTTAATAAATGTCATAGGTTATGAAGAAAAAAAAAATTTCTAAGCTCGTATTTATATTTTTTATATAATGAAAATGTAATTTTATTTGATGTGGTGCAATGACTTAAAAATAATAAATGAAAAAAATAATAATTATAATAATAATAATTATTCATGAACGTTGTATGAGCTGGGATCGATGAACGTTTTATTGTTTATAATAATTACTACTGCTAGGTATTTTTTTTTTTTTTTCATTTTTTTAAATAAAATATAATCAATTGTTAAAAAAAAGGGAATTGTTATGGTTTAAGTTTCGAAATAAAGCTGAATTAAATGCAGTTGTGGAAGTTATTATTTTACGAAAATAGCAATAGTAATTTTTATCGACAAAAAACAGATTTATGATGAGGTAACACTTGTCTTACTTGTACTTAGTTTATCAAATTATCCAGTCATACGCTCATATATTCTTGCTACAGATTGAATATTTTTATCTTTTTGTTTTTATATATAATATATATAGATGCATGTATATTACACAAATTGTCACTCGGTTTAAACATCTTTTTAAGACAATTATTTTTTTTTTTCGCGTTCGACAGTCCCAAATTTATTTTTTTTCTTCTTCAATTAATAATGTCAGATTTTTATTAATTTAAATAATTATAATTTAACAATATTGTTTTAAATTCGCAGTTTAATTACATGAATTATTTTTTACAAGAACAAAAATTTTTTTATTAAAAAAATATAAAAATTTGTAATTTGGTTTGTAGAAAAAATTTCTTTAATAAAAAATAATTTTTTTTTTCAACTAATTTTCAAAAATAAATTTTAAATATTTTTATAAAAAAATTTTTTCTCAGTATTTAAAAAATTTGAACGAACATAAAAAATTAATAAGTCAATATAATAACAATTACAGTAAATAATAAATAATAGTCGACATAAAATAATTATTACAAAATTGGGACTGACAGAACTAACAATAATTTGAATATAATTTATTTTTTTATTTTTTTTTAATAATTATAATTATTGTAAGAATTTACAGTGAATTTAAAAAAAGAAAACTATTTAATTTAGTCATCAATGTAAAAATTAATGAACCAAAAATAGTAATCGGCAACTGGCTTTAGGATCGAAAAGTTATTAATTTAATATAATTAAAAATGAGTTAATTGGGAATTAGAAATAGTTGCAATAATTACATTGGACTTATCACAGAAAATGTATGGCATTAATCGTCATTAATTAATGTAAATGGTAGTTGTTATAGTAGTTAAAAGTTGTTGTTGTAATTAATAATTATTTAATTAATTAATCAATCAATTAATTAATTAATTAAATAAATTCGTATATAAACTAACGTCGGAGGATCGGGAAGCCAGTACAATAACTATAAAAAACAAAATCATTCCATTACTCATTTCTCCTTTCTCATTAATAATTACTTTTAATAATTAATCATTACTCGTTACTTATTTGTTTACTCTTCGGGTTGCCCATAATTACCACACGTTACAATTACAATTAATAATTATTTTTTTTTTTTTTATATAATTTATCGTGTGTTACACAAAAAACGATTAATAGTTTTTTTTTTTTCCTATAATTTACTAACATTCTATACAATTTTAATCATTTATTATTATTTATTCATTTTTATGCCTCAATCTCTTTTAGTGTTTTTTTTTTAACAACAATTTTTTATTTACCTAATTGTCACATTATATTTTTTTTTGTTAAATTTAAAATAAAATTTTCATTTTTTATTATGGACAACCTTTAATTAATGAAATAAAAAAGCTATCACTTTTAACTATGCGAGTCAGTAGAGAAAATGGAAAAAAAAGCTGTGCCGAAAATTATAGTCTAAATAAATCGAAAAAATATACAAGGCACAGGTTGTAAGAATAAAATAATAATATTAATAATAATAATAATAATAATAATAATAATAATAGTAATAGTACAAATAATTATAATTATAATAATAATAATGATGATAATAATAATAATAATGATAATAATATAATAATAGTAGTCGATTGTATTTAAGAGAAAGAGATCATAAAAAACACTAACTAGAATCATTTCCCTTTTATCTGGAAGAGTTTGACATTAATATTAATTTTAATTTGTTATAATTTCAATCATTTCAATTACATTACAAATCACTATCATAAACAAAGTATCTAAGTCTTGATAAATCGATTTTTAAATTTAGCGTAGTAATTTATGTATTTATTGTTTAAGATTTATCGTATTCCATTTAGGAACTAAATAAAAAATAAAATAATAAACGTGTTACACAATAAGTCTGGCCGACGCCTTATCACAACTTGTTCTGCGTATCGGTACGTGGGCAATGGCTAATTTTGATCGTCTTGGTCCCTCTATCTTCTAGAATCACCTTCCCGAATAAAGTGTTAGTTATCCTTTTGGTTCTCAGTTATTTCTCCGCTGATATTTACCAAGTTAAAAGTTGATATTAATATCATCGATGGACTTGTTTGACGATTAATGGCTAATTTTTTATCATCCCGATGATATTTATTTTCATTTTTACACTTGGAGATTTTTTTTTTCTCTAAATTCTATTTAAATCCTTTTGATGTAAAAGTGAGCCTGATTTTTTCATCAATATCCTCAGAAAATTTTCATTTGAAGGCTCTTGATTCTTCAAGTGTTGATAATTATCCCCTTGATACTGACATTAATATCAACTTGGACATATTTTCTTCCCAGACAGAGATAAAACGGCGATCAATAAGGGACGGGTATTAAAGGTGGGTAAAAAACTCAATTGGTGGGTATACAAATAATAAATTAATATTAATTCTCAAAAATTAGAGAATTTTTTAAAAAATATCTCATGATATTCGTTGCACTTTAATGAGTTTATTTAATTATTTGACACACTACCGACGCTCACTGAACACAACAAAAGTTTGCGGACACCCGCTTAACTGGCCGTGAGTTTATTTATTATTAATTTTTAATTAAATCGACATTTAACTCCCGTTTTAATTATCACGGACCATGGACACTAGTCGTTGCGACGGCCGACAAAAAAATGGGTGGTCGCACTAGGAAACATTTATTTATTTTTTTTATTATTATTTTATTATTTATTTATTTTATTATTTATTAATTAATTTTAGCGCTACGCGTATTATATCTCACTGTACACGAAAATAAAGTCAAGAGGGATGTAGGTGGGGCGGTGAAGACACTGTTGTTGTGCCCGGTATCAATGGTAATGATGATTGCTTTCAGCTTTGTTTCACACGTTTGCGAGGCGGTCCGATCGGCGGTATTTGTTGCGTCGCTAGGGCACGAAATGCCTCCGCTATTAAGTGTGGATGCGTATTCACCATCGTTTTGAAACCAGATGTATCCATTACGTCTGTAGCATGTCTGTAATTAAAAAAAAAAATCATTAATTTCTTTGCTACATTTTTTATTACAAAAAGCTTATTTAAAGATATAAGCTCATCCTGATGTTACACTCATCAAGAGCTTTCATTTGAGTACCCACATGCATTTTTGATATATTTTTCATATATATGTATATATAATATATAAAAATATATATAAATATATGAAAAATTGATGTGGGTACTCAAATGAAAGGTCTCGATGAGTGTAACATCGGGATGAGCTTATATCTTTAAAAATTTCTATAGTTACTCATCAAGAGCTTTCATTTAAGTACCCACATGCATTTTTGATATATTTTTCATATATATGTATATATAATATATAAAAATATATATAAATATATGAAAAATTGATGTGAGTACTCAAATGAAAGGTCTCGATGAGTGTAACATCGGGATGAGCTTATATCTTTAAAAATTTCTATAGTTCACAAGATACAAGATCATTTCTTAATTATTGATATTTTTAAAGATGTAAGCTCATCCTGATGTTACGCTCATCAAGAGCTTTCATTTGAGTACCCACATGCATTTTTTATATATTTTACATATATATGTATATAAATATATAAAAATATATATAAATATATGAAAAATTGATGTGGGTACTCAAATGAAAGGTCTTGATGAGTGTAACATCGGGATGAGCTTATATCTTTAAAAATGTCAATAGTTCACAAGATACAAGGTCATTTTTCTTATTCTCTCAATAATATAAATTAAAAATTTTAATTTGATGTTCTTTAATTTAGAGAAAAAAAATTAATTTTTACAGCGTTAATAAATTTGGAATTTAATTTTTAAAATAATGTATGAAAAATATTTAAAAAGTAAAAAATTACGAAAATATTTGAACACTTACGTATTAATAAAGTCTATGGCCTGTGCTTTTAATTGATCTGCACTGTGAAGATCGGCAAGTATAAGAATTTCTGCCGCATTATCGATTGCTAAATTTGTACAAAGTGCCTCTTCGCACATGACTTTGAGCCTTTCGAGAGCATATTTATCCGCCGCAGCCAACAAATCGTCCGCCATTTTCTCAAGATTTGTCGCTTTGCCCGTGTAAATAAATCTCAGCATCTCTTTTAGAACCTCGTAATCTACGTCTGTTATATCCACACGATTCTGCTTGCGCTCCTCCATTTCATGTTCAAACATCGCGGAGAAAACTGGACTACGCGCTGAAATAAACAAATATTATATTAATAAATCAATCAATTAAGTAAATTGTATTTATATAATAATATTTACCTGCTAAAATAGCTTTGTGCGCTCTGAATTCATTACCACAGACAGTTAATGTAACGTCACTGAATTTTTGGCTTTCGAAAAGTGTTCCAAGATCTTCTGGTAATCGGCATTCTGGTACTTTGAATTGGATTGTATTACTTTGACCGGAAATATTGACACTATCTGCTACTACACTGACCTGATAATTAATTAAAATTGTTATTAATTTAAAAAAATTTTTAAATGCATAAAATTATTTTAATAAATTGGAAATTAACCAAGATATAATGTTAAAATAATTTACCTCACAAAATATCGTTAGTTTATCGTCTGGCAATAAACCATTGGCTTCATCTAACAGGAAGTCTCTTCTTATGAATTTTTTAAAGCCCCAGTCCTTGCCTTGGACAAACCTGTAGGCTCGTTGGCTCTCTGTAAATATTAATTTTATTTATTGTCATTTTAAAATATTTAATAAATTTAAAAATTTTTTATTTAAAATTTTAAAAGAATAGAAATTAATTTAATAAATAAATCAATTAATTAATTAAATGATCTATATAAAAAAAAAAATAAATACATACCCATAGCTTTGGTTTCTTCTCTTTTGGCATTAAGAATTGAAAATTTGAACTTTGCTCTAACTTCTGATTTATTACAAGACACGAGAAGCAGATAGAGTGATAAATAATCCTTGCTTTCTTCATCCAAGCCTTTAGGATTAACTCTCAGGCACCTGAAAAATAAAAAAATAAATTATTAATTAAGATAAATAATAAAAATCCGCTATCTTTATTAATTTTATCAGGCAGTAGTTGGTAACTAGCAAAATACAATATTAATATCACTTATCAAAGCGAATAATAGAGCGATTTTAATGGTGAATAATTAAATAACACTCGGGTGAATTTAAAATAAAATGTTAAATTTTAATCAGAGATGAATAATATAATAAAAAGTACTGTCGAGCAGTCGGTGAATAGTGGACTCATCGATGAGTTAAATAAATCTGTTTTAATCCTGTCACCGGCAGTTTTCATATAATAATAATAATAATAATAATAATAATAATAATAATAATAATAATAATAATAATAATAACAATGTATATATTGCGACGAAAATGTCAGCGTCAATTTTAAAAGTAGCCTTGGTTTAATTTTATCCGGATTTTGTCAGGCCATTGCAATACACTGACATTGAATCAATTTACAATATAACATTTCATTAATTTTTAATTGTTTCAATACAATAATATCAAATTACATTTTTATTAATTAAATAGTATTATTGGTTTTTTAAAAAATTTTAGTGTACAATTTTTTTTTTTTTTAATTAAACAGAAGTTATTTCTTCAATTTTTTTTAAATATATTAATGATTCATATATTATTGGAGTCATGGCTGTAATATTTATCATATAATGAAAAAAATTGAAAATAATTTAAATTTGACATCTTTTTCATATTATATTTACTTTAATTAATAAAAAAATTTTATTGAAATATTAAAAAAAAAAAAATATGAATCTTCTAACAATCTTAGCATAAATTTTAGAAATTTTTGAAATTTTTTTACAAATCAACTATGACAAAAAAAATAAATTCTTTATATTCAATAATAACGTAGATTTAAAAATTTTTTTAATTTTCTGTTAATATTTAATGGATATTTTTTTTTTTAATAAATTATTTATTTAATCTGTATGAAGTAAAAAAAATCCAGTTATTAAAACTTGTAATTTTATTTTAATTAAAAAAAAATCAACTCTAACAAAGTAATAAATATACTTTTTGAGTTATAAATTTTAATTGGATAATTTGATTTTTAAGAACATTTTATTTTTTTTAATTGGAATAAAATTGCAAGTGTCAAACAACTAGGCCAGAGTCAGTAACTAGGTTTTTTTATCTTACTAATTAATATTTAAAAAAAAAAAATTACCATTTAAGTTTATCATTGGCCCCTGCAGAGAATGTCGAAGATTTGAGAACCTCCCCCATTTCTTCTCTGCAAAAACTGAAGTTGTTGATCGTCCACATGTAGCTGAATTTTACCACCTTCACCTGTAAAAATAAAACCTTTAAATATAATGCTTGTTAAGAAATCTCAGTCATTAAAATTAAATTAAGACATTTTTAATTTCCAGTGAAAAAGATTTCTTCTTTTTTACCAAAAACCGAACCGACCCAAAATCTCCTATAGCTTATCACCTTGACTAACAAAAAAAATCCTCACCATTCCTGAATTCAACGCATCTCGATAAATAAATAAAAAATGAAGACCAAAACAATTGAATTATAGGAAATAAGACCAGGAATTAATTCTCGTTAAATACGGCATCATATTATTTACACGTACGGTTAAATATCAAGGACACTGAGTATTAATTATCGTTTACGTAAGCAGTAATGTGTGTTATATCTTGTATCTTATACATTGTGTATTGTATTTCATAGAATATTTTCCAGTAGAGTTTAACTATTTGAAGAAGTGTATTATATTTATATTGCATATTGCAGATATGAAGCATTTGGTTACTTCGTTTATGTTACATTATATTTAATATATCGTATCATATCATGTATAATGAGCATGAGAATAAGAATAAGAATATGAATACTTAATTTAATTCTACCAATGACGACTAGTTTACGTTATATTTTTATTAATATTAATGCATTCACATATGATACGTATTGTAACGGTCTGGTGACATTCCTCTGACAATAAATAATTAATAATATTTATAGTTCTTATTTTTAATTGGAGATTAACTTCAAATGTTAAAGAATTGAAGCAATTAGCATATTCTTTATTAATTCAGCTGAACATTAACTAGTTATTAATTATTATGAAATTTCGCTTGATTCAAATTATTTAGAATTTTTAAGATGATAAATATAAAAAATTTAAGACATTTTTTAAAAATTTTTTTAATTAAAAATTTTAATTTTGTGGATTAAATAAAATTTTTTTAAGAAAATTTTACTTGATTAAAATTAAAAAAAAAATTTTTCAATCAAGTATTATAGATATTATTCTAATGTTTATTAAACTTATAAAATACATCAAAAAAAAAATTTTAATGTTATGAAAATAAAATTAACAGACAGCTGATTATTTTCAGAATTTTTTTTTTTAATAAAATTATTACAAAAAAATTAAAAGAAAAAATTACACATGCAAAAAATTTGAAAAACTATACGTGCAATTTTTTAAAAATATTTTTTTATTGCTAATTGAATTAATAAAAAAAAAATTAAATTTTTTCACTGTCGGCTAACTTAATTTTCATGCAATGTTAATTTTGTATAGTATGAATATTTTTAAGTAAGTCAGTAAAATTTTATAATTTTAAGAAAATTTTTGCAATATTATTGACAACAAAATTTTTTTTTACTATCATATTTCAACATTAATAAAAATAAAAAATAATAATAATAAAGAAGCCTGTAATTCTAGTCTCTTTGATGTTGAATTTTCGAGAGTGAATGTAATAAATTTTCAATACTAAAAAAGAGTAATTCTCAGTAGTTGGTATTATATATTATATATTATATATATGTTTTGCTGAATAAGCTGGTGATGATGATGACGATGATGGTGGTGATGGTGGTGGTGGAGATAAAAAAGGAAGAGGTCGAGCCCCCTGGATGTCAATGATCCCTGACGACTTAAACGGTGTGTGTGTTCTGTACTGTGCTGACCTTGGAGAACGAGCCAAAACTATTTGTCTATACCAGTTTAAGTTAATGGGTTCAATGAACTTTTGTTATCGCAATTGTTATGATTTGTATTTATGATTTATATATTATATTATTATATATTCTGTACTCAACTGTGTACGAAGCGAGGGATATATGTTATAATTTATAAATATAATTATTCAGAGAATGTTATTTTTTTTTTTTTTTCAACTTTTTGCACAGGTGTCGACTAGACGGCGGACAGGGAAATAGATCGATAGAAAAATAGCTGGAAAGAAAACCTTGAGGTGAATTTCCGCGTATGCAACCTTGCTCGCGTGATGCAGGTGAGTGCGCCCAAAGGGAACGCAGGAAATCACGCACGGGTCGATGCTCTTATCTTAGCGCCGGTTTTGTTCTTAAAAATTGTTTGCTGCGACGGAAATAACTTTATTACTTTTTTTTTTAGTTGTAAGTTTGATAGAAATGATAATGATCATGATAAAAGTGACAGAAAGTGAAAGTTTGAGGTATTTGTTTTGGAGAAATCGGTCAACATTTTTTTATCAGTTAGAAATTATTTTTTTTTTTAATTTTACTTTTAAGCAGACAAAAAAATTATTTTTTTTTTCATTAAATAAATTAAAAAAATAGATAATTTATGCACCTTAGGTCCTGGTTAATAACAAAAGAAATTTAAAAATAAATGTAACTCTACACACAAAGCCTTAATTCATTTCTTTTCCTTGTTATTTAGTTATTAAGCTACTTTGTTAATTTATAGTACTTAAATATAGAAATTTTGGTTTATATAGAATCATATTTTTACTTAAGCTCTCTCACTCTGTCAAAATTTTCAACTTTGTACAAATTGAGTAACTCTGTTATTGGCCCTCTGGACTGTTAGGTTTAAATAAAGGCAATAAATAAATAAATAAATAAACTTTAAAAAATTTCAAAATAATTTTCTATCATTTTAGAAAATTTTTTATTTCATAAATTTAAAAACCATTTTTAAATAAAATTTAAAGAAAATTTTTTTTTTAAATAAAAAATGGATAAAAATTTATTTTCTAAAATTTTTTTAAATAATTAAATTTGTTAAAAAAAATTAGTGATCGAAAAATCAATCTAAAAATTTGAGTCGGTTTTTAAAATTAAATTCTACTTTGATTAAAATGAAACTTATATGAAATTATTGTTTTAATTAATTAATTACATAATTAATTTATTAGAAAGAAATTAAAAATTTCATTAGTAATAAATAAAAAAAAAAAATATTTGTTAATGAAATAAAAAATTAGAATAATGAAAGACAAACATTAAGTAATAAAAATAATAATCAAGTTGTGGTAATTAAATAAAAGTGTTTAATTTGATAATAAAATAACAAAAAAGAGGAACTAAGAAAAAAAGAATGTGGAGGAAAGGATAACTGAGGAGGATAAAAATAAGAATAAGAATAATAAGTTTAAGTAAATGTAAAGTTAAGTTTAAAGGGGGTCTATGCTCTTACTCTGGCGGTCGACGCCCTATGAGTGTCGTTCAACTCTCTTAACAGTCTTACTCGTCACCACTCCCGGCGATCCGGCGATCGGCCTTGAATCATCCTCCCGTGTCCGTCTATGGGCCTACACTCACGCACCGGGTTAAACTCACCCAGACACAAGCGGCTTCCGGTTACAGGATCCATCAAACGTAATCACAATTATAATCACGATCATAATATTTATATAAATTTTATCTTTAATCTATAGGCTGTTATTTCTTCTATTTTCTCGAACCGCGAATTGTTACGCTGATTCGCGGGATGACTTTTTTTTCCTGGTCTATCTATGACTTTTCATTAAAATCCACCGTAATAAGCCGATAAAATTTTATATGATGGTGACTAATTACATCGAGGGAGAGATAAAGAAAAATTATTATCTGAAAAATAATTTCTTGGCTCATCAGGAATTTTATCAAATTAATTCTTTAAATTTTTTTTATTAATTAAAAAAAAAATATTTGCTTTTATAATTAAGTAAAAATTACTTTTCTTCTATCAAGAAAATTTTCTTAATAATTGAAATAAATTTTGTAGATATGTAAGTGCGAAATTACATGCTGCAGATGTACGAGTCTCTAGTAGAGATAGTTTAGTTTTTGCAGATAAAATAAAAGTTGAGGAAAATATAATCAACTCGAGCGACATCAGGTCGTTCACTTGGCATCCAAGCCAAAATTATATTAATAGATTCTCAACGCCACATCAACTTTATTTACATATATACATATATTCTGTCTATATACGTCTGTCTTTAATAATATTCTGCGTTTCATATTTTTAATTTCTGTTTATTATTATTTAATATTTAAAATTTTTTTTTATTCTTAAATTACACTTGAAAATTATTTTTTAATTGACTGGGTATTAGTTTTAAAATGTATGTCAAATATTTTTGTTAATAGGTTTTTATGTTAGTAGAAATTGTTGATTAAAATATTTTTAAAAAGTGGGTTAAAAGTTTTGTTTTTAAATTGAGTTTATAGTTAATATTTTTTTGGTTAAAATTTTTTTAGTGAATTGAAAAATTGTAGAAAGTTCTTGGAATTTTTGTAGAAAATTAATTATAATATTTTTTTATATTATACAAATTAATAAATAATTTTCAAGTGTATATTCGCAGAATGGAAAGAAAAAAAATTAATTTGATTCAAGATAAAAATTATTGCCAAAAAAATTTCTCAGTTGAAAAATTTTTCAAACTTTTAAAAATTATTTTCTTCGTTCGAGAATTTTTTTCTTTATTCAAGTTAATTTTTTTTTTCTATGTACTTATTTAAAATTAAATTAAAAAAAAATTACCTGTGTATAACACCAATTTTCAGCAACTGGGGTGTTAACTTCTAGTGGCGGCGGGCTCGGAACACGGCTTACCGCCATGCTACTACTGCTGTGTAAATTTGAACTAACCCGCGACGTTTGAGGTGCACAGTCGCTCACCGGGTGTCTGTAACATAAATAAAATTTATTATTAATAATTATAATTAAAAAACAAAATTAATTTTTAAAACTCAAGAAGATAAAATTAAAAATTTCAACTTTTTAATAAAAAAAATCCAGGAATTTTATTAAAATAATAATTAAAAAAATCTCAATTTCTAAAAAGTAATTTTTTATCAATGTAAAGAAAAGAAACGGGTTGAGTTAAAGGAACGAAGGAAAGAAGGGGGAGTTAAAGGTAGAGAGGGTGGTATGCAGGGCACGCGATGGTGCTCACGTGTGCCAAGTACGGAACTACTAGTGTAGTGTGCTGTTGAGCGAGCACACAACTCACAACTCTTTACTGGATACAGAACTCAGTACGTTAGCCCCTCAGGTTCATTGGACCTCTTTACGCTCTGATGCACGGGGAAGCACTCCTTTAAATTCTTTCTTATCCCTTTACTTCACTTCCATAATGTTTATTGTTTACCTTAATAATTTACTTTTTATATTTCTCAGACCCTTCGGGGTTTAAATGTCAGGTCATTTTTATACGCAGAGTCAATGAATGAGTTCCTCAAAAAAATAATAATCATAATTATTAAATTTTTTTTTATAAAATTACTTGAGTATCAAATAAAAGTACACAGAAAAAAAAATTAACTTGAATCAAAAAAATAATTTAGAAAAATTTCATTTTCTTGGTTTAAATTTAAAAATTCTTAAACTAAAAAATTTTTCTTGGTTTAAGAATTTTTCTCTTGATTCAAGTTAATTTTTTTTTTCTCTGTATAAATGTTTTTATTTTTGACTCAGTGTACTGAGACCTTGAAAAATTTAACTGATAGTTGGGTCATTAAAGGAATTAAGTTATCAATTTTAATTGTCAGTTAATGACGGAAATTTTTTTTATCTACAAAATAATTTTGATAAGTACCGCTGTATTTAAAGAGCTAAAAAAAAATTGTTATTTTCTATGAAAATGAAGTTAGCCGACATTCAAAAATTTTTTATTGAAAAATTTTTAATTAAAAAATTAAAAAAAAAAAATTTCACATGTAAAAAACTTGAAAAGCTAAAAGTGCAATTTTTAAAAAATATCTTTTTAGTTATAATTTAATTAATAAAAAATTTTTAGGTGTCTGCTAAGTTAGCAGTGTCATTATTTTCTAAAAGTTATAAAATTTTTTTTCAATAATTTTTTCTGATGAAATTTTGTTACATAATATAATTATTCTGAAAGAAGTCAACTTGGAAATAGAGTATTAAGCAGCCGATATAGCTTGTGGTGAATAGTGAACAAGTTATTTCCTGGTTGTTGGTTTAGTTAGGGAGAAGTGAACTAAGCGGCGACTAGCCGATATGACCTCCGCGAATAGACATTTAAAATAAAACTCAAACATATCTCAAAGTAACCGTAACTATGTTCTTGTTTTTATTGTGCATATTTATAATAAGTTTCAGTATATTTAAATACAATGTTGGATTGAGTTTTAATGAAACTCCGGTAAGCGGGAGGATAAGAAGGTGGGAGGCGGGCGGAGGGTGGCCAAGTCACAAGTCACAAGAAGAGGGAGTAAAAAGTTATAAAACGAGAAAGTGAATGATGTAAAATTAGTATTGTAGTAGCTTGTATGTAAGTCCGATGACCCTAAGGGGCTAATGCACTCCCTGTACTGACAGTACTCTCTAGTGATTGTAGTTGTTGTTTCCGCCTGCATAGTATAAGAGACACGTGACTGGAACCTCAATCTTATCTACTTCATTCATTTTATCTAATTTACATCTTTTTTGTTTTTTTTCACTTTTTTATTATTCTTCGCTGTTTGTTATTTCGAGAAGGAATTTTGATTTTTAATCTTTGATAAAAATTATCGATAGTTTCTTAACTTTAACTTATTCATTATCAATAATTTTTTTTTTTCAAGGTTTGTACTAAAAAAAATAATTGACTTTTTTATGTCAGTAATAAAAAAACAATTATTTTTAGATTTAAAAAAACTAATTATAAAAAAGATTATTTTTTAATTTTTTTATATATTAGAATTTTGATTTTTAATGTTTGATAAAAAAAAATTATCGATAGCTTCTTTAATTTATTCATTATCAATAAATTTTTTTTCAAGGATTGTACTAAAGAAAATAATTGACTTTTTTATATCAGTAGTAAAAAATTATTTTTGGATTTAAAAAATTTATTATTTTTAAATTTATAGTTTTTATTTTTTTTTGTCAGATGTAATGTCTTATAATTTTTTTAAAATTTATCATAAAATTTTAGATATATTATTAATTTTTTTAGTATTTTTAAATGAATTATGTAACAAAAATTTATTGAAAAAAAGTCATTAAAAATTTTCTAGCATCTATAGAAGATAAAAAAATTTTTTTTGTAGCTCTATAATACATCACGTTGAGCCAATTTTTATGCGTATGTCCATTAATGTGTATGCATAATAATAAGTCGGAATTTTTATAATCTAGAGTAGTAAAAATTATTTACTGGAATGAATTCTCTACTATCTGCTCAATTTTTGTTTTATCAAACAGTTTAATTGATAAAAAATTTTTCAATTTGTACTTTAACACTTGCAATAAAATTCAATTATTTTTTTTTTGTAACTAACATCAAAGTTCTAACACTTTAAATTAAATAAAGCAAGTTACTTTTTTGAATTCATAATTTTTAATTAAAATAATAAAAAAGCTACCGAGATTTTTTTTTCTAACCAAAACTTAAATTTATCTTTAGAAAAGAGTCATGTGATGTAATGTTTATGAACTTACACTATGATTGATAGTAAATAAACAAAGTATATTTTAAAAACTAAATAATTAACTAAAGAAGTTCTTGCTTACGACTTAAATTACAAACTTAGGTTGAAATTAAAACTTTTATTCCAACGGGTATATCGAAAGAGTTAAAAGTTTTAATTTAAACAGCCACTACTCGACTGTTACCGGTGATAAGACACTACACTTAACTATAGACCAATACTACGAGACTAAGTATTATATTACTTGTACTAAATATTACTATACACTATACACCAACTAACGCACAGACTTAGGAGAGGGGAGGGGGGATAATTTATAAGATTACTATACTGAAAAATATTTACTCAGATGGTTGATAATTGTTTTAAATTTATAAAGTTACTATTTTTTTTTTTTTCTGATGAGCTAATATCTTTTTGTTGTGGGAGTTTCTTTCGTGGAAACCGAGCTGTGATTTTTTTTTTATACCAAGTAATTTTATGACGATTGGTGTAATTAATAATTGGACAATTAAATTATTCAGTAGATTTAATTTATTCAAAAAGTTTTTATTAATTAATTGGTTTGCTAGAATTTAAATTTGAATTTATAATAACAGATGGATGTAATTAGAAGATTACGCGCTTTGTCATTGCGATTGGTTATTTACAAGAGATAATTGTAATGATCTAGAAAATAATTCGATAGATCATTGGATGACATTGTTTGAATAGGTGAAAAATTTAATAGATAGTTTGTTTAAATAAATTAAGTATTATAATTATTTTTTCTAAAGAATATCATTAATGAATGTCGATTATATAATTATTGATGATTGATATCAAAGTTAATTAATTTTACATAATTTAAAATAATCTTTAATCGATGGGTTGATGAAGCAATTATGGTAATTCATCATTTATTTTTCGTAACAATTGTAATTATTAATTGATATCAATTGCTCAGTATTTTTGTTATTAAATCACTTAAAAGTTTATGAATAATTAAATCAATTTTTATGATATTTTAATTGAAATAATTTTATTCATAATATTTTAATAAATTAAATTATTATTTTAGTCGATGACAATTATTAGTTTAATTTATTCAAAATGAGTTTTGTTATAAATAAACTTTTATATTGGTTGGGAAAAAAAGATATAATAATTTAAAATTTGAATTGAATAAAATATTTTACTTTTATCCAGCAATAAAATACTGCGGACTTTCACTTGCGCATTTAATCCACCCACCAGTTCAGTTCAAAGCTTATTCCATCCATTCAGGGAGAGTGTGAGAGTTTAAATGAGCAGAGTAACAATCCGCATATGTACATCCATATTCAAATAACTACACGAATACGTAATAAAAAGTTACTGAGAGTTTGTGGGATAAAAAATCGGGAATTGTTAATTGAAAGTTTGTCTAATTATTAAATGTTTTTTTTTTTACAAAATTCTGTGCCAAAAATTAAAATTTGTAATTAAAAAAAAACTTTCAATTTTTCCTACAATAAATTTTTAAAAAAATTTAATTGTAAAAAATAATTACTCTAATATCTAGAAATTTTTTATTTTTAAAATAGAAAAATTTTCAAGCCTAAAGAGCGTTTAAAAATTTTTATTTTTAATTTTTTTAGTCTAATAAATCTTAAAAATGATTCATTATTAATTATCATTAATTTTGAGTCATTAGAATTTTTTAAAATAATAACAATTTTAAGTTGAGATTAAATCTAAAAGTAACTAATCAATTTGCATAACTCTTTGATTTTGCAATGGGAAAAATCGGTGAGTTTTCACTAAATAAAATAAATCTTCACTTGAATTATAAATAATGAATCTAAAAGGAGTGATAAAAAATAGAAACAGCAATAACTCATTTAGTTTAATAATATTGTGGAGGTGGCAGACCGAATGTAAAGGGAAAGTAGAACGGGCTGGTGAAAACGAGGAAGTCGAGTGAAAACGGGCAAAGAAACGGCGATTAAACCTCGGTAATTATAGTTATGCCTCGGTATAGACTTGCCAAATCAACCTGGGGAATATTCCGTCGTCCTCATCATCAGCCTCCGCTCAATCTCCTCATCCACTTTGTCGCAGCTTTAAAATTGCATTAACGTCCATTTCATTACATTATTATCTTCCACTTCCACTTTACATTTCACATTTGCCAAGCAATTCAATTAATTATTTTTTTTTCCACATTTAAATATTAATTTAATAAAACCTTCCTATAAAAAATTAATTTCTTGTTCAGAAAAAAAAAAAAAATAATATTCGTTCAAGGGTAAAATAATTTAAAAGCCGATAAAAATAAAATGATAAGCTACAATTGGTTTAGCTGGCTCTCCGTGATTGGCTGGAGTTATCGGTTATTACTTTGTTCTTTTTCTTTGTAACAATTGTTATTGTTAGAATATTTTTATTTATTTTTTTTTTTTATTTTTTATACATAGTAATAATATTTTTAGTTGAATTGTGAGCAAGTGCACTGATATCATAAGAGTGTAATTTTAATCAGGGCCGAGTTTTGCAGGAAAGTCAGTACACGGTGTGTTAAGCCTGCCGCTGGTGTTCTGAGCACCGCTTAGTAGAGAGTCAAGGCTAGTTGTATTGGCTTTGTCGAGGCAAGTGTGATAAGACAAAGGCTAACTCTCTTCAAGGGCAAGCACGAGCCTGAGCTTCGAACTACTGCCGCTGATATTTTACTTTTAA